CTTCGAGAAGACCTGAATGAACTTCCTATAATTGTCGGCCAAACCTAAGAAACTACGAATCTTCAAAACAGTCTTCGGCGGTTCCCAATCAAGTATAGCTTCTACCTTAGCTAGTTCTATTGCTATGCCCTCTCTGCTGATGACATGGCCTAAAAATCTTACCTCAGATAGCCAAAACTCTCACTTGCTTAACTTGGCGTATAAGCGATGATCCGCAAAGTCTGCAAAGCCAAACGAAGATGTTGCTCGTGCTCTGCCTCCGATCTCGAATAAATGAGAATATCATCGATGTATACGTTCAAGAACTGGTACAAGTATGGATGGAAACCCCGGTTCATCAAATTCATGAATACCGCAGGTGCATTGGTCAGACCAAATGGTATGATAAGAAATTCGAAAGACCCATATCGAATCAGAAAGGCGGTTTTGGGAATATGCATCTCCCGAATTCATAACTGATGATAGCCTAAACGAAGATCAATCTTCGAGAAACACTACGCTCCCTACAGCTGGTCGAATAAGTCATCAATCCTCGGTAGTGGATATCTATTTCGGATAGTGACCTTATTCAACCCATGATAATCTATAAATAAGCGTATACTACCGTCCTTCTTCACGAAGAGAACCGGCGCTCCCCACGAAGAATGATTCCGGTGAATAAAACCCTAAGATAATAACTCGTCCAGCTAAGTCTTTATTTTCCTCATCTCAGCAGGTGCCATACAATAGGGTTCTCAGGATATCGGTACTGTGCTCGGCTGTAACTCGATGCAGAACTCAACCTCTCTCACAGGAGGTAACCCAGGTATGTCCGAAAATACATCCTGATAATCTTAGACAACTCTAGTCTCGTACAAATCAGCACTCTGATCCCTCAGCATCACCTCCTCGATATACGCCAGAAATGACTCCGCAAACTAGTTGATCAGTGAGGTCGCTACTACCAACTCAGACCCATCGGACGCTCACAAGATGACTATTTTAGCAAAACAATCGATACTAATATAGTAGGATGATAGCAAATCTATATCGGGAATGACGTCAAAATCCAACAAATGTAACACGATCAGATCTATGAGAAACTCAGACTCGTCTAGACTGATGACACATCTCCTACATATACTCTCTAATAAGGATACCTCTCCTAGAGGAGTAGAGACTGATAACGGAACATGTAAAGGATGTGCTACAAGCTGAAGCTTATCCATGAAGTCATGAAAGATAGAAGAACGCAAATTTCTTGAATAAAACAAGGTCTGAGCTGGAAAGGAAATCATGAAGAAAGGTCCGCTCACACCATGATCACGCGGTACGGCTGCATAAACTCTGTCGGTGATAGAAAATATATAGGACCATCTGTCCCTCAGGAATATCTTAGATAACACAAATCTGGCCTACTGACCCCTTAATCCCTGGAATAACAGGTAGTGCCTCTACCCTCCGTTGTTGGTCGAAATCACGGCTCTGAGACTGTCGACCCTAGCCTCTATCATGCTGGCTTCCTGCTGGTGTATTACGACAAGTACCTCGAACTCTGTGCTATTGCGGCGCTCTCGAATCATGTCGTACTCCTATCTTATACTGTCTTTATTGCTGGTGGTAAAAATCCTTACCCCGCTATTGGGTTTCTCTAGATAATGCAATAGGCCTCTTGCCCTTGTCATCATCACCATGATAGTTTTGATTTCTTCATTAACTACAGGCATACTATAACAAATTGTATTTTTCCCGACGCTTATTCCCAACGCATGGTTAAATACGTCGCCAAAAACTATGTTTTTCCCGACGATTTTAGTTAGCATCGGCAAAACATATATTTTTCCTCACGTTTATAATTAGCGTCGCTAAAAGTGTATATTATTTACGACGTTTTAACTTAGCGTCGGTAAAAGTGTATGGATTTCCCCACGTTTTTTCATTTTCGTCGGTAAAAGTATAACTTTTAGCGAAGAAAAAATATTCGTCGCAAAAAGTATACATTTGGCAACGCACGTTAGCGTCGGCAAAAGTGTAGCTTTTAGGGACGAACAGTTTTACGTCACTAAAAATAAACATTTTTGCCGACGCTATATTGCGTCGGCAAAAGTATAGCTTTTAGCGACGCAAAACTATTACGTCGCTAAAATCTATACTTTTGCCGACGCTTTATGTCGCCAAATCTCCCCCCCTCCCCCTCCCCCCGTCCCCCCTTCCCTCCATTTCCGTGCCTATCTTTTCAAAATTCTCCCCTTCTTTTTTTTCATTTCCCTCTCTATCTCACAAAACGTGCACATTCCCCCCCTTCCCCGTTCAAGACTTCCTTCCTCCCCTCGACAATTAATGCGAGGGCCTTCGAAACCCCTCTCTTCCGGTCTCGTCTTTCTCCTCGAACTCTGTTCTCATTGGAATCTCCTTAACGGATCTCAATCGAGGAACTTGAAACCCTTATCTATGAGGAGATCATCATTAGGTTGATGATTCAAGCGTGCTTCCCGCGGTTCCAAAGTGCGAGTGACGACCGCCGTTGAAGAGAGATGTCACCGACAGGCCGCTCTCGCACAACCAGGATCATGTTCTTGCGGAGCGGAAGCGGCGTGAAAAACTCAGCCAGAGATTCATCGCCCTGTCCGCCATCATCCCCGACCTCAAAAAGGTCCCTTAGACTTGCTGCAACAGGTAGGGAAATAGGAGTCTTTTGGCTACAGCAGGAGGGGAATGGGGGTGGGGAAATTGAAATACCGGAGCAGGTGGGGAAAATTTCCCCCCTGGTTTTTCTGTAGCGTGGGGCCCGCGGTGGGCTGTCACATTTTTTAAAAAAAAATAGAAAAATGCCTGACCAATCAGGCCTAGATACGTGGCAGCATGCATGGCTATGCATGGCTAATGCCATGCATGCTGCCACGTATCAAGGCCTGATTGGTCGGTATTTTTTGATTTCTTCCTTATTTTAATTATTATTTTTGCAGATAAATACTATGAATTAAATTATAATTTTTATACCAATAATTATCATTTTCCAAACTCTATAAATAGAGACAAACTTTGTGTCATTTGGACACCAAAAAAATCTGAGTTTCTACACTCTTTTTCTTTCTTTCTTGTTTTTCAAACTAGTTTTTTCATACTTCTTCTTCATGGATCCTTCACAAAACTATCCTAATTTTTCCTACAACTACAACTTTCCTAACCAACCTCAAAATACCCAACCTCAACCTCAAAATCCAAATATGCAACGCCCCGAAAATACTCAAAATACGGGTATGCAACCCAATTTTCAAATGCCGTATATGATGCAACCGAATTTCGGTATGCAATACCCTTATCTTCCTTACGGTTATCCTCCAGTTCCGGGAAGCAGCTATGTTCCATCCCATATGAATTGTCCTAACACGGAGTCGAGTGAGCCAGTGACACCCCGGTTTAGCAGCGGATCTACAGATATGGAAGACTTGCCCACCCAAATGTCTTTGGGAAATGTTGGTGGGGATACTCCCCATAGTTTTCTGCCTCCAACCCAATAATCAGCAAAGAGATCAAGTTACGATAGTTGGAGCACCGAAGACAACATACTTTTACTAACTGGTTATTTTCACGTTAGTAATGATAGTGAGTTGGGGAACAACCAAAAGGGTGAAACTTTCTGGGGTAAAATTACACAGTACGTGAATGAGAACGCCAAAAGTGGAAAAGCGAGGACCGCGGCTAAGTGCCAGAGTCATTTCAAAGACATCAACAAAAAGATATCCAGTTTCATTGGCTGTTACAGTACTGCCTGTAGGGAGAAGCGTAGCGGTTGGTCCGATGACAACTACATATCCAAGGCAAGAGAGTTGTACTTTGAGAAAATGGGTACGATGTTTAATTTGGTGGATGAGTGGAAGGTGGTTCGTGATCAACCCAAATATATGTCAGGAGGAAATGCATCGGGTAGTAGTGGCTCTAAAAGAAATAGTAGTGGTGAGGATGTTGAATCATCTGCTCCTACCCTTGTACGTCCAGAGGGTAGGGACGTGGCAAAGAAGAAAGCTAGAGCTTCCTCTAGTAAAACATCTGTTTCAAGGAAATCGAAGGGGGCAATTGAGGAGGAGTTATCTAATCTAGTCAGTGCTCATGAAAAATTTGAAGAGAAAAGATCAAGTACTGCTTCAGCTATGAATGCCCTGGCTCATGCCAAGAATATGGAGATGTGGTTATTCTTGAAAAACAAACCAGATCGTGACGATGAAGATGATGAAGCTTATAATATGTTGAGGAAGGACCTGTTTGGAAAATAAGACCTTCTCAAGAAGTTATGCTTGTGTGTTTTCTTTCTGAAGTTTTTGTGTGCCGTGTGTTTAATTTTGGAGTTGTGTGAGTGCCTATGTTTGTTGAATGTATTAATAAAATTATTGTTTATGTTTGAATAAAATTGTTGTTTATGTTTGAATAAAATATCTGTTTATGTTTCAATAAAGTCGATTGATAATGACTTCTCACTGCATAATAGTACAAAAGATACAATTACTACTCACTGCATAAAAAAACAAATGTTGAATTGACTTCTTACTGCAAAAAAATACAAAAGATGAAATGACTACACCTGCATAATAATACAAAATATGAATTGACAACTCTCTGCAGATGCATGCCCTACGACACATGTCTCTGATGTTGCATGCCCTAGAACACATGTCCCTGCAACTGCATGTGAATTCAATTATTTGAACAACTACCCTTCATTATATAAACTGATCAAATGCACATCATAAGTATACCTATCAACATTTCTAAAATCATATCATCCAATGGATCCAACCCTAAATGAGTTTAGTCTAGAAGAGTTCCAACAACAATGGGAAATAGAAGAAAAAATACTTGATAGGTAGCGAGAACTTCTTAAAGAATTGCAAAGGAGAAGCGAACAACCACATAAGAGGAAATCCATATATAGAGATCATCATGCAGCGCATGAGAGACTCATGGCCGACTACTTTGCCGAGTCATGCACTTACACTGACGCCCAGTTCCGACGCAGGTATTGAATGAAAAGGCCTCTCTTTCTACGAATTGTGGACTCTATATCAAATTACGACGATTACTTTACACTACGGCGTAATAATGTGGGCAAGCTTGGGTTAACGCCTATCCAGAAGTGTACGGCTGCCATACGCATGCTCGCATATGGAGTCACAGCCGATGCTTGTGATGAGTACGTGAAGATAGGAGAATCCACTGCTATCGAGTGTACTCGCAAGTTTTGCGAAGGGGTAATAGAATTGTTTCAAGATGAATACTTACGACGACCAAATGTGGAAGACTTGCAGAGGTTACTCCAAGTTGGACAGGAACGTGGATTCCCAGGGATGATTGGAAGTATCGATTGCATGCACTGGCAGTGGAAAAATTGTCCTAAGGCTTGGAAAGGGCAATTTACTAGTGGACACAAGGGGACGGCAACAGTTATCCTCGAAGCAGTTGCGTCATATGATTTGTGGATATGGCATGTTTTTTTTGGGCTTCCTGGTAGTTTGAATGACATAAATGTACTAGATAGGTCACCGGTTTTTGACGACATTGAGTCGGGTGAAGCTCCACGGGTAAACTTCACCGTGAATGGGCGGGAGTACAATCTTGCATACTATCTTGCCGACGGAATCTACCCTAAGTGGCCTGTCTTCGTGCAGTCAATTCAAATGCCCCAAGGCAACAAACATCAATTTTTTGCCAAAGAACAGGAATCATGCAGGAAGGACGTGGAACGCGCATTCGGGGTTCTCCAAGCACGTTTGCTATTGTCCGCCAACCAGCTAGAATGTGGGATCTTGATGTCTTAGGAAAAATAATGAGGGCGTGCATTATTTTACATAACATGATAGTAGAGGATGAACGAGATACGTATTCGCGAAACTGGGAAAATATCGACTTTGAACCGTCGAACAATGCTAGCTCTAGCGCCTCTTTCAATGTTCAAACAGACGTGTTGCCGGAGTTTCAAGTCCATGTTCAACACCGATCTGAGGCAGATAATCAGACTAGAGCGGAACTACGAGATAAGACCCAACATATTCAGCTGAAGAAGGATCTCATCGAGCACATTTGGCAGAAATTTGGAATAACCTCCGATTAGATTTACCAATTTAGTGTGTGTTTTCTTTAATGTTTTCAATAATTTGGGTGTGTTTGGTTTTCCGTATGCTTAATAAAATCGTGTGTTATTTTATGTTAATTTAAAAAGAAAATTAAATTAATAATATATTAAATATTATATATTATTTATTGAATTATTAATAAGTTATAATTATAATAAATATATGAGTTATACTAATAATAATAATAGTAATCTATATGAAATAGGAAAAATAATGAATAAATATGGTGGGGTATATGTTGAAGTGATGCGGTTATGGTGGGTCCCAAATAAAGTAAAAAAATTTCTAAAAAACTAGCTGCTGCAGAGTTGATAGGAAAATAAAGTTTATTGAATTAAATAAAGTGATGTGTCAGGAGAAAGGGAGGTGAAATTTCACCTCATGCTGGAGATGGTCTTAACAAAGCTTTTTATTTTATCCCGAGTTTACTGACTGGGATTCACTTATTTATTATTTCTTTTTTGCCCCCTTCCTTCCTTCTGTTTCGTTTCTGTGTTAAAAAATTATTATCTGTTCTATGTTCCCTTGCATTGTAAAAATTTTATCATGTTTTAATTATGTTTGATTCATAGATGGACAAGAATTCAGTCCTCGGCCGTGCAATCAAGTACCTGAAGCAGCTTCAGGAGCAGGTGAAGACTCTGGAAGTGCAGCCGGCGAAGAAGATAGCAGAGCCTGCGGTGATCGTAAGGAAATGTCAGCTCTCAGATGATGATGGGTCTTCTTGTGAGGAAATTTTTTGTGAAGGGAAGCCTAACGAAGCTAATAACAACATTGATGTTGAGGTCGAGGCGAAGCTATCGGGAAAGACTGTTCTGTTGAAGATTCACTGCAAGAAGAGCAAAGGATTACTGGTGAAGATACTGGCGGAGATTGAGAGCCTGAAGCTTTCTGTTCTGAATACCAGCTGCATTCCTTTTACAGCTTCTGCTATCGATATCACTGTGATGGCTCAGGTTCGTGATTTCAGATATTCACCCTTTTCTTGTAACATTGTTAAAATTTGAAGGAGCTTTGGTTTTTTATTTTTATTTTTTGTGGGGTTTTCAGGTTGAAGACGGGTTTTCTTTGACGGTGAAGGAGCTTGTAAAGGAGCTAAATGTATCATTCAAGAAGTTCATGTGAAGGATTTGATGGAGCAGAAGTTCTTTCTTGTTAGTACGATCGATGATGAGGGGGGTTTTGTTCTTGATTTGCTTCTTTTTTACAAGGCTTCATTTTCTTTGACAGTGTAGGAGGTTGTAATTAAAGAAGCTAAATGTAATCATTGAAGCAGTTCATGTGAAGGATTTGATGGAGCAGAAGTTCTTACTTGTCTTGTCGAAGGTTTGCAATATTTCTTCATATCGGTTCTCTTTTATTCATAGAGAAGGCAACAAAGTTCTTGCTTGTGGTGGCTGATTTTTTGCTGTACTCTTTTTGGTTATATCATGGAGGTTTAGGGAATTTGGTCATCCTACCTGTCCATAGGATGAAGACATCCATATCATTGTAGTCAGTTATATGAATTGCAAAACTAATTTGATGCTTTCTATTTCCAGTGGTAGATATACGGAGCTCGCAAAGAAACTCATGTCGTGCAACTTTGGAGTATATGCAATGGATTGAACAGGTAGACACCATGTACACACTGTTCTCTGGCACCTCTCTGTTTTGTCCCTTTCTTGCAAAATTTTTTTGACTTCCATCAATTTGATTACAAGACTATAAAAGCCCATTCAAGCAAGAAAGCTCAAATGCCTCTAGTCTCTGTCTGCATGATCTTTACCGTTCAAGAAAAAAGCTCATTGATTATATTCTCACTTCTATTCAGGTATCTCAACATGATCTTGAGGCTCTCTTCATAATTCGATTAAAATAAAAGCAAGAAAGGCAGTATCATATTGCTATTCACCTTTCTTTTTATCCATTCTATGAAAAGTTACAAACACGATTTAAAGTTGTCGTGAATGTGAAATGACAGGAAGCTCTCAAAGCACTGTGGCAAACATCTTTCCCAACAACAAACCTTACAGGCTTAGTCTCTGAGTAATGGAAAGATATGGGTTGGCAAGGTTTAAATCCATCAACAGACTTCCGGTAAATTAAAGAATCAGAACAGTCTTAACACATGCACGCACACACAGAAGGATTGAGCTGTTTTGCGTAGTCCTCAAATTACTATTGCTTTCTATTTATTTCAGTCACGTATTTATATTCTTCATCTTTTAGTTTTGAATAAAATTACATATGTGCTAAAAGCTACTAACTTATGACTGTGGGAAGTTATCTATCAAATTAGACTTTCTATACAACATTTTATTTGATACTCTTCATAGTAAGACTTACGATGTTCTGAATTTGGCGAAACATTACAATTTTGTTAGCAGCCACAGATTAGACCTCCACTTGTCTATTGCCTAGATGAAACCACAGATTGCATGCATAGAATGATATTTAGAAACTTGTCTATTGTTAAACTTTATATGTTCCACGGAGAGATGATCTGATTTTCAAAATTTAAAGCGACAATATCCACTGCTTTGACTTGTTCTGGTATTTTAATTTTTCTTGAAAGGGAGGAAAACTCAAGTTATTTATGTGTCTATTTGTGTACCAATTCTTGACTTTATGTTTACTATGTTGATTCATTCAATTTGAATGCAGTTATCAACTTCAAAAGTTTCTTACAGGGGCTGTGGATTTGTTTCACTTGAGAATCTACTATTTTTTGCTCAGACCTATCCGGTATCACATATTGCTTTCGATATGTTTTTGTTTACTTATTTTATACAATTCATATATGTTGCAATTAATGAATGTAGGTTTCTTTCAAAAGAATATTACTTAAACAAGAAGGGACAAGAGCAGTATGGGAATATCCATTTGCTGTTGCAGGCATTATTATTACCTTCATGTTAATCCAGATGTTGGATCTATATTCAGGTTATTCAGGAATGCATTTTTTTAACATATCCGTGTTTTTTTAATGAACGATGTCATGACCTGTAAGATATTGTTTACCTACAGAAAAGCCTAAATCTCTTCCAGGAGCAAATTTCATAAGAGTACTATCTGGTGAGGCCAGGATATGTACAAATGCGATTTCAGTAAATAGTGTAACGTTGTTTTTCTAGAGTCAATTTGCTAGTTACCACAATAGGTACAGTATTGCATTGTGATTGCAGACGAGGAAGAAGCTTCATTGTTTGTAACTTTTCATAGAATGATATTTAGAAACTTCATCAAGTTTGTAACACATCAGTCTGTAGTTCATACATAGTTTGAGTTTTCTCTTTTATCAACACAAGAAAATTGTGGGTAAGTACATATACTGCATTAAATGGATTACAAGTCATTTCACGTTCACGACAACTTTAAATCGTGTTTGTAACTTTTCATAGAATGGATAAAAAGAAAGGTGAATAACAATATGATACTGCCTTTCTTGCTTTTATTTTAATCGAATTATGAAGAGAGCCTCAAGATCATGTTGAGATACCTGAACAGAAGTGAGAGTATAATCAATGAGCTTTTTGCTTGAATTATGAATGGTACTATAATTTCCTTTTTGCGTAATTTTCAAATGCCTCTAGTCTCTGTCTGCATAATCTTTCCTATGATTTTGCTTGAAAATCTTGCTTCTGTGCCCCCTACTTAATGATCCATCTGTAGTATTTTTAAGTCTCACCGAAGAACATGTTAATGTATCTAAGCGCTATAAAATATATAGTAGTATTTGTTTGAGCTATATATATGTAGCTGATAATCTGACGTTGCATTTTCTCTAATAGGAAATAATCAAAGAACTGATGGAAAGACTACCACACATGAAAGAGCTTATGGATATGTATTGTGGTCCTGATAGAGTGACTGCAAAGCAACAAATACAGGAGTTAGACAGAGTCGCAAAAACTCTACCAGAGAATATATCTTCATCTGTGAAGAGGTTCACTGATCGTGTCGTTCTTTCACTTCAAGTTTTTTTTTTCAACTTAGTTTAGTTTCCTATAAATTTTATAATGTGTCATTCTCTTAAATGGAAAACACTGAATATGGCAAACTAGAATATTTAAACAGGTCTTTGAGTGTTAACTTGGAAATGGAAATGAATGTAATTATTTTGCAATGAGAGCAAATTCTTTATTTATCATAATATGCAACTTATTTGGAGTATAATTTGATGTTTTGTTTCTTTGTTGAGTGTAGGTTTGTAGTTGACAGAAAAGATATTATTTTTGATGATGCAAATTAGTGTCGACAAAATTATACTTTTTACTGATGCACCAAAAATTATACTTTTGCCAACGTTATCTTGTGTCGGCAAAAGTATAGCTTTTAGCGACGCTATCTTGCGTCAGCAAAAGTATAACTTTTAGCGCGCTTCAATTTGTGTCGTTAAAAGCTGCACTTTTGCCAACGCTAACTTACGTCGCCAAAAGTATAGTTTTTAGCGACGAATAATTTTGCGTCGCTAAAAGCTATACTTTTGCCGACGCATAGCTTTTGCCGACGCTGAATGCGTCACCAAAAGTACACTTTTATCGACGCAAAATATTATGCGTCGCTAAAAGATATACTTTTCCCGACGCATGAAGCGTCGCCAAAAGTGTACTTTTGGCGACGCAATGTATTTGCGTCGCCAAATATTTTCCTTGACGCACTTTTGGCAACGCGTTAGCGACGCTGCATTTTGCGTCAGGAAAGATTTTTCCCGACATTTTTTAAACTTTTGCCGACGTTTTTGTTTCGTCGGCAATGTTATATTTTGTTGTTCTGGCGAGAAAATATATATCTCCCTGCTTCACTTGGACTAGCTCTAACTGCTTGTCGAAAAAATAAACAAAATTCTTCCAAATAAGTGATATTTATTGCTCTGGTGAGAATCTGAAGTTGTTGCTATCTCCCGGTGATGTCCTCTATACTGAATACATTTAACTTCTGCTTTGGTACTGAGTCCACGTTAAGAAATTTTTTCACATATTTCTTCCATTTAAAAGCTATAATTGATACCGATTTGTCCTGAAATTTTGGTGTTCTCGGCTTCCAATATTTTCCTTAATCTTACTGAGCCAAGTTTCCTGTTCTGCTGCTTTATTAATAGCTGGATGTGGTGATGGTGTAGTCATCGATATTGCCTCTTCAATAGGCACGGTTAGTATGAATAGTAGTGGAACTTCCGAATGTGTAATCTTGCTCGTTACTCGCTCCTCGAGTGTTGCTAGTCTCTGCTTCTAGAATTGGCGTTACGAAGTCGATCAGATACCGTGGAGCCTGCTGCGGCTCGGGCTCTACTTGCCTAGCTCTTCGGGTACAAGTTTTACCTCGACCACGTCCTCATCCCGATATTTATAATATCAAGAGGAGAGCTTAATTGACACAGTAAATGAGGTCGTAAACATATATATATAACATAACGTATCATGATAAGCATTCACGCAAATACTTTTCAATCAAAGTAAGGTAGTTACCAAAAAAAATTCGTAATTTTTTTTTATATACGTATATAACGTCCTCACTTATTCTAGGAATTTCTATCGGACTTTATACATGAATTCTAGGAAACTCTATTCTAGCTCCACGACTCGACGCAGGATGATCCTAAGGATACTGAAACTAGAGCTCTGATACCAACTATGACGCCCCTATTTTCACACTTGGCTGCAGTCTAAGGTGAACGCAGAGATGTCAAACATGTCATGCTCATCCACTATGCAACAACATGTTTCACCAATCACAGTAATATCCTCTAGTGGAAACCAATATAAATGAATGTACAAAACAGGCAAATAAGGAAAATAAATACTATAGACATGATACAGAAAGATATATCTCATAAATAAAATCGTGTCCCAAATAAACTAAACTGGAATACAACTGATATACATTTGGAGTCTAAAATAACATAATATGTCTCAACATAAATTGACTAGAAATCATATTAAGGCATATTGCCTTAACAATATGAGTACAAACTCAAATGACTGAATGGAAACATAAGACCACTATGGAGTCCATACTAGTAAAAATACGCGACGGTGACTATGCAAGAATTCCATCACCCTGCGACTCTCCGATGCTCTGAGCCGCCTAAAAGTTAAAATAAAATAAAATAAAGAACAACAAGAGCGTCAGAGCGTTACATGTAAAACCCCGATAATTTATGAATAATATAATTAATTTGTGATAAATTATAATATGTGGATATTTAGTATGATAAATATCATTTAATGGTATATGAGTATAATACCATGTGATTTGAGTATGAACGAGTTCATACATGAGAGAGAAAAGAGTTGAAACATGCCTTTCAAGTTGGGTTTTTGTTGATTCTTGGCTTTTGGAGTGGAGATCTCCTTCGACGTTGCTTCTAACATGTATTCCTACAACCCCAGGCGAGTATCATCTCTGCTAATCCCCCTCCTAGTTTTTAAAACGTTTTTAAAGAGTTTTAAACATGTTTCGTAGAGCCTAAATGACTAGTTTATGAATAAAGTCAATCTCTTTTGTATTATATATATAAAGATTAAGTCTTTTCATGCTAAAAAGGTTGAGAACGTTTTTACAGATGTGATTTAGATTTGTTGATGATTTTAAAACATGGTTAATCTAAAGAAAGGAGTTTGTTTCGTTGTTTTGAGATTTTATGCATGTTTTTAGGGTTTTGAATACAAATCTAATGCATAAAATCATGTTTATAGTTGTTGAGTTGTTTTCAGATGTTCATATCTGTTGTGACATATTTACAAACAAGTTTCATGAAGATTTAATCATGTTTGAATCACAAAAACACGACGTGAACACGACATACATGAAATAATTGAGAAATCTGGAATCAGGGTTCACGGTCGACCGTCACAGTCGACCGCGTGTAGGACAGAGACCTGGGTAGTCTCTGGAGCCCGTCGCGATCGACCGCCACGGTCGACCGCCACGGTCGACCGCCAGTCTGTTTTGGTTGTGCATGTTTATATGGCTTGGTTTTGGTTTGTCGAGCAGATTTCTCGATCTAATGATAATAGACTATTATGTTAGTGATTGTTTAATACCTGGGATGATGGTGAACTTCAGATGAGGACACGCACACCGAGATTTGTGCATGTATACTAGATTGTGTTATATTGACACACTTTTGACATGAGTTAATTTGATAAACACATGAATAATGTTGTTCTATACGTATCTGGAAATAGGAAGATGAAACCTATTTGCCGCAGAACGATTGAGTAAGAGTATTATAAAAGTATGGTTATTACACGTATCCGGAATAGGGAGATAATAATACATATTGCCGCAGAGCGATTGAGTAAGAGCATTACGAGAGTATCGCTATAGTACAAGATGATGCACACATAGATAATTGATCAGTTGTAATCTTTACTTTCATGAAAGATTGCCCGCGAGTAGGGTATTTCCTTTGAGATTTTGATACACCCGTTATGAATGGCAGATATTTTTTTGTTTTAACAATTGTTGATATCCTTTTATGTTAGAGCAGATCACTCGAACCTAGTTCGAGATGAGATGATTATTCTTTATGTTGGAGATTAGGGTTTTTATCATTGGTAAATTTGTTTTTCATTCATAGAGAGTTATATGAATGATTTGATATATGTATGTACTGACTCTATTTTCTATATACTCCTACCCCTTCCCCTGGGGAGAGGTAGTGATGATCTTGCTAGCGCTTTGATGCTCGTTGTTCCCCTCTTTCAGGCATCGAGTCCGGCGCACGGAGAGTCGCAGGTTGATGGGACATCTTAGTTGTCTGTTTAAGCTATTTATTATATTTTGTAGTTATTGCAGAACTCCACATGTAGTTGATTATTTTCAGACTCTAGAATTGTATTTTATTTCATAGAGTTGAGAGCTATTGTGAGACTTGGTTTATTTGACTCATTGTATTTGAGATTGTTAGCCCTTATGTTTTGATGATGTTTTACAACCACCTTTAACGGTACTAATGGCTTATTGAGTGCAAATGTAGTAAATTCATTTATCAAGCTTGTTAGTGCCATTTATGGAGGATGGATGGAATATATGCTACAACGATGATATCCAAAGGAGGAGGAAGCATAATGATGAAGCAATGTTAATTCAAGAACAACAAATCCATAAAGAAGCTTCATCAAACTTAAAGCTATCAAGACTCAAGAACTATATTCTATGTGAGGATATTAGCTTGTTTTCTATTTTCTCTCTAGTGCTAGAATGTAGGCAAAGAGTTACTGATTTTACTTGAAGCTATTGAGAATCACACATACGTTTTCATACTTATGTTTTTAAGCGTTTTTCACAAAATACTATTTATCACAAGTATGAGGACCTATCTGCAAAATTCTTTTTCCAAATAGTTTTTTTTAGTATTAAAAACATTTTACAAAGTTTCATAATTTTCAGAGGTCAAATAAATATTTTGCAAATATTTTAAGTTGAGTCAAAAATCAATTTCAGCTATATATCAGAAAGCGGTCGATCGGACTGGTCGATCGCTTCTATGATCATTTGCCAGTGTTTTTTCAGAGAAGTCGTGTCGACCGGACCGGTCGACCACTCCTATGATCATTCGTCAGTGGTTTTCCAGAGAGGCCGTCGGTCGACCGGTGAGGTCGTCGGTCGACCGGTGCGGTCGACCGAAATCTTGTTTTTTCTATCGGTCGACCGCGCCGGTCGACCGATGTTGGCTCTGTCTGTTTTTTATTTTTTCAAAGCGGCTCGCGGTCGACCGAATTTTCGGTCGGTCGACCGAATCAATTTTTCGATCGACCGAACATTATTTCGGACGACCGAAATTCTCTTCGGTCAGCCGCGACTTTTTTTTTAAACGGTCATTTGCCTAGAACACTGTGCTTTCACTTAATCGTGTTTGGCTTTTTTCAAACGGTCGATTGCCTCGTTTGCTGTGCTTACACTTAACCGTGTTTGGTACAGTCTGTGGTAATGGTCTGAAAAGGAGATTATTTTCTTAATTGGGAAGATTGGGTTGTGTTTTTAAAATGATTAATCTCTTCTATTTAAACCCTTTCCCCTTCATCTTCCCAGTTGCCCTGACGTTTTGCAAAAAACCAGAGAGAGACGATGTCTTCCTGAGAAAAATTTTCAAACCTGTTCTCTGTGTTTTTCTCTGTGGTT